GCCCGTTGACCACTGGGATAGGCTCCAGTTCCCCCCGCGACCCCATGAGGGAATAAGCGGTATTGATAATGGATGGATGGATGGATGTCATACATTCTGGATTCATTACAAACCAACTGAAATATCACAAGCCTTTTATTGTTTTAATATCGCTGATTATGGCTCACAGCTTAAGAAACCCAAATATCCTATTACAAAATATTAGAATATCGGATTTTTGAGTTTTCTTCAGCTGTACCCCATAATCAGCAATATTAAAACAATAAAAGGCTTGCGATATTTCAGTTGATTTGTAATGAATCCAGAATGTATGACATTTCATGTTTTTTAATTGCATGACAGAAAATAAAGAACTTTATCACAATATTCTAATTTTCTGAGACAATCCTCTATAAATAAAATTGAATTTAAATTTCAATTAAATTCCTGTGTTTCCCCTGCAGGCGCATCCAGCTGCTGGGAGGGAGGATGCTCCTACCACGGCCTCCTCACACACCTGAACCTGAACGCGCCTGGGGAGGAGCTGAGGATCATGAGACCGGTCAGGAATTGGACCAGCACCACCGAGGTGCTGGTGGACATGCTCCTGTTCGGGGTCCTGGACGTGGTAGGTGGGCTTTGTGGACCAGAAATGAGGGAGGTTTGAGCTCTGGATTAATCAGTGTGAGGGGTTTGAGCCCTGAATTGTTCATTTGCACATTCGGATCTATATTTTTAAAGATTGTTCATTTGTACATTCGGATCTATATTTTTAAAGATTGTATTTTTCAGTTTTATCATTTCTGTCCTATATTTTTATTTTATATTTTATTTCTTGCTTCTCATAGAAGTGTTGTGTTGTGCACTAAACTCCAAGGCACATTCCTTGTAAGTCTAAAAACCTACTTGGCAATAAACCTGATTCTGATTCTGATGAGCAGTCGAATGTCTCTGTGTGCTCCTGAAATAGATAAAACTCCAGTTTGTAGAAGCTCTGCAGCCTAAAACTGAATTGTTACTGATATCAATGCATTTTCTAATATTTCGGTGCTACTAAACAATGAAAAAAATATCTAAGAACACCAATATTTCAGAGTAAGATGTCAGATTCAGCCAGTTATTTCCTGTCATTCCTGAACAGAAAAAGTATCTATCTATCTATCTATCTATCTATCTATCTATCTATCTATCTAT